TAATTTGTTGAGATAGTGAATTGGTGGGTTTTTGTTAAATGTGAGCCAAAATCATCACAATTAAAAGAACCAAAGACTTAAACTACTTCAGTCTGTGTGCATTGAATTTATTTAATACACGAGTATCACAATTTGAGTTGAATTACTGAAATAAATGAACTTTTCCACAACATTCTAATTTATTGAGATGCACCTGTATTAAGTAAAAAGTACTTCCTAATAGATTGAAGCATTTTATCAATAGTTATGCATATATTAATCAATATTTCTCTATCGTCCTGCATATTTTAAGCTGAAGTGTGTAATTTATTATCTATATAATTATAATTATTCATGCCACCTGATGGAATTAAAAAACAAATCACACTTTAAAGGGGTCATGAACTGAGAAATCAAAATTCCCTTCATCTTTTGACAGATAAGAGATCATTGTACTATAAAAACATCCTGTAAGTTTCAGAACTCAAAACGTTCTTGTTAGTCTAAAAACAGCTTATATTGACGCCAATCTGCCAAAACAGATGTCTGTCAAACACACAGCTGTTAGCCAATCATAGCGGTGGGTGTTTACTAGGGTTGGGTATCGATTGGGTTGTTTACAATTTAAACGGTGCCTGAACCGATACTTTACAGGTGACATATCATGAAAATCTGACTTTTCCAGGTTTAAAGTGCTATAATCAGGTCCCCGGTGCATCTACCAACCAAGGAAACGTGAAAAAGATTAACCCAGTAACTTTGTTTTGGGAAGCCTTTTTCTGCAAGCGTCTGAGAAAACGAGCGCGTCTGATTTCGTTCCCTTGGTGACGTTGCAAAGGGATCTCATTATAATATTACTGGCCCTTAATCTGTAAGTTTCCACCCACGGCGCCGTCATTTGATTTCGCAAGCGACAACGGTGTACCAGCTGTAATGCCATGGCGAAAGTTTGAGCAAAACATGCTAACTGTTCTGTCTTTGGCTGCACAGTCGAGCACAGAACACTATTTAGATCTAAAATAAACATGCAATTTATTTCCCAGCAGTTTACCTTCACAGACATAACCAACTGTTTTTGTAACTCGTGTGTGTTTTTAACAAACTTGTGTGTGAATGAGAACTTAGTTTAGTACTGACAGCCGCTTTCTGTACGTGTGCTTCGGATGTGTGCTCTCAGAAAACCATATATCAGAAGTTTAAACT